TTTTATAAAGTATCAAGGGTTTGGGATGGAGGGAGAGGGAGGGAAGGAGGTGAAATAAATGAGGAACTGATACCAAGGGGTCAAGTAGAAAGAATATGTTTTGACAATAAGGATGGCAACAAATGTACAAATATGTTTGACACAATGGATAGATGTATGGATTGTGATAAGAGTTGTACGAGCCCCCAATAAAATGATTTAAAAAAAAAAAGATTTACAGCTTTGGAAACCCTGTGTAGGGTCACTGAGTCAGAACTGACTTGAGGGCAGGGGGTTTGGATGTTTTTTCTTTGTACTAAGTTTATGTGCTACTTAAAAAACAACAACTGCCGGTTAAATTATACTTAGAGATGACAGGAGTTTGTTATGAAATTGATCATTAATTTAAAGAACTGGTTTTTGTTCATGGTTCTGAGAGGTAACCTTCAAACCCTTAGACTTTCTCCGTTGATTGGAACCTTTCTTATTCATAGAGGGACTCCACACCTTAGCTGTGTGACAAGTAACGCTACTGCGGTGACTCTTGGGCAGGGACTGGACAGGCCAGAAAGACCTTAAGTCCAGCCTCCCTTCAGCAGAGGGAGCTTGGGGCTGGATTCAACCACATGGACAATGGTTGACTTTACCATGCCTGCATTAGGACTGTGCGTTTGGACATGGGATCTCCATTAGCGTTGCGGGTGGTAAAAAACACGGGGTTGGGTCATTTCTGAGGACATAGAAACTCACCGCATTAGGACCTCCTAGGCCTTGTCCTTTGGGAATTATTGAACCCAACAGAATATTGAAAAAGGTCAGAAGGGAGAGTGTCATGGGAACCCCTTAGGATTACAGCTGGTTTCTGCAGCCTGAGACTTGGTCACCTTTAGGAGCATGCTCTTTAACTTGGATCTGGAAACCCTCAGGAGTCCACCAAAACAACAGCAGCGACACTACAGCTAATGAGTTCAACAAGTTCAAGGTCCCAAGGCAAAAACCACTTCATGGCCACAGTCGCACCACTGACTGGCTAGCATTAGGCCTGGAATGTTCACGTTTTCTTCTCGGCCACTTTTCTAATAATTTTCCCATGAAGGTTTTGATACGGCAATCTGATGAATGCCTTACATTAAAAAATATGAGATTAAATGTGTACAGGTGGTCCAGAATAAAGGAGACTCTAGTTTTGATATTAGGAATACATTTAAAAATTGGAATTGTACAACAGTAGATTGAACTGCCTTCCCAAAAGACCAAACTTAATTGCCGTCAGGTTAATTCTAATGCATAGCAACCCTATAGGACAAACTAGAATTGCCCCCTGTGAGTTTCCAAAACTGTCAATCTTTACAGGATCCGAAAGCCTCATCTTTCTCCCATGGGGCAATGGTAGGTTGGAACTGCTGACTTTGTCCAGCGCATAACTCAGTGAGCCACTAGGACTGCCTTGCAAAGCCGAGCTGGCTGTCATTGAGTCCATTCTAACTCAGGGCAACCCTCTAGCACAGGATAGAACTGCCCTGGTGGGTTTCCAAGATTGCAAGTCTCCACAGGAGTAGAAAGCCTCATCTTTCCCCTGAGGAGCAGCTGGTGGTTTAGAACCGCAACCCTTGTGTAACCCAGGGCTCCTGGTAGACCTATAGTCTCTTATGTTTACTACAGTCATAGAAAAAAGGTCTGTCTTGGCAGTAATAGTTACTCGTGATGATAGGTGTATAAAAAGAACTTTCAACCAGTTAAGATTCTTTACTCACCCCTGCCCTGCTCCATCTACCTGGTATAGTCCCCGAGGCCTGCAAGGCATTTTAATATACACTGTAGTAAGGATCACAAACAGGTAAGCAACCTGTGTATTTTAGATGAAAGATTTTATACTGTCATAGTGAAATGAATTAATAAGGTAGCAAGTTAAGGATAACTAAAAGAAATGAGATAGGTTGGTAAATCTCTTAATATTAGAAAATGGGAAAAAAAGAAAAATAACAAAGCTTAGTATTGGAGTAAAATTGTCAGTGTGGCTCTTGAAGACTATTTGTCTTAGCCTCCCTGCAGAGTTGAAGCTACACACGGCTCTACAGAGAGGTCCCCACCGTTTGGGACCTGTCCTGTGCACACGATTTCATACTTTGACAAAGTAGAAGGGATAGAGTGAGGCCTTATCAGGTAGAAGACAAATGTGCAGTTGCGCAGACGTGCATGCTCCTGTGTGGATTTTGAAGGTTCCTTGGGCACTGCTGTGGTTCTGCGAGATGTTTTATTCTCAGCCATCACACCCCGCTCCCGTCCCTTGCCCACGACCATTACAGTGATAAGAGAGTCTGCTTGCTGTACAGTGATGTGTCTTGAATAGTGACCATTAGTTTGTGGTTAGTTACCCTTAGCCTGCATGGTAGCCTTCAGTTTAATGGCCTCTTTTATGTTCATTCATTTTATTTTATTTCCCATCGTGGTTTTGTTTATTTCTTTTTTTGCTTTTTGTTTTTCTGTTCTCTTTTTAAAAACCGTCGTGGTTTCCCTTCATATTCCCCAATGTTTGCACATGACAAGATGTTGCCATCCCAACATTGCCTCCCACTTCACTGACCAGTGCCACTACTGACCATCTAGCGCCAGCCACCGCGGGACCACTGCCTTCGGCTCCCCGGGACGTCGTGGCCTCCCTGGTCTCTACCCGCTTCATCAAACTGACGTGGCGGACACCTGCATCAGATCCTCCTGGAGACAACCTCACCTACTCTGTCTTCTACACCAAGGAAGGGGTTGCTAGGTAAGTGCTGGTGTGTCTGGAGCCAGTTGGCTGCATCTGACCTCAGCCTGGTCGTGCCTGCCCCTCCATCCCCGGGCTCTTGGTTGTGAGGGGTATTGCTAATGTTCAGTCCAGAAAATATGGTCGCTCACCGAGGTGCATTCATTAAAATACTCCAAGCCAGGCTGAGACTCTCCTGGTATTCTGTCCAGTTTCTGAGACGACTTGAGGAGTTTGTGGGTGCGAGGGCCGAGAAGCAAAACTATAGGAGCTATTTGGGTGAAAGTTTTAACATGTAGAGGGCCGCCCTTTTTTCCAGCTCAGTGTACAAGAACTGGCAGGTGTAGAGATCAAGTTAGGCCACTTTATATGAACAAAGACTTAAATGAATATTTGCCTGCGCCCTTGTGTCGGTGTGGACTGCAGAGCTCCAGAGTCTGCAAGAGAAGTTAGTGACCACATGGGGTCGCTGTGAGTCCGAAGCCACTGGACCATACCTTACAGCAGTAGCAATCTGCCGGAAGCAGCACTTTCATTAAACCCCTCTCTATCCTCAACCCTCTCGGGAACTCAGGCTGCTTTTCCGTTGCTTAAAGGAAGAAGCCCAGAATCTCTGGGGAGCTTCCGTGTCTGACTTGGTCGAGCCAACCTGATTTTCCCATCTCTCCCAGCTTGATCTCAGTTTCTAATGAAACCAGTCTAATTCTTAGCACTGTGACTTCTCCCCACATGCTGCTGTCTTCAGACACCTCTTCTCTCCCTGGCCAGCTAAAGTACACATCTCTTTATATAGATGAGGGCAAGTCAGAAAGTATTGCTGCTGGGGTTCTAGTTCATGAGTTGATTTCAAATAAAACATCTAAACATCTTTCTGACCAGTAGGTGGCTGCAGACTAGTTCTCTTGTTAATACTCTTGTTTTTGTCTTGGGGTACTTTCAACAAAAAGGCCCACTCAAAACAGTGGCGTGCAGGGTTATCTGCTGGGCTAGTTAAATTTGAGGTAGTTCAGAAAGTTGTGGCGACTGTTTTGGGGGGAATGCCAAAGGGCTAACCTTGATAGATTTTCTTGAAGGACAACCACAGGGGGATTTATTTGGAAATCTTAAGAAAAGAAAAACGTGCATTAGCAAGAAAAAGAGCAGGAAAGGTGTAAAGAGGGATTTCCCCACCACTGGCACCACCAACACAACAGTGCACCTGCTCAGTGTTTGAGAGTAGCAAGGGCTGTCCCTTGCTTCTCCCATCCACCGTACATACAGCCCTTAGACTGATTTTTATTCCCAGTCCACAAAGAGCACTTAAAGGGGCGGCCCTCGGGAGTGCCAGAGCTGCTGTTTTGATGCCGTCTGCATTGAAGAGAGCGGAATTCTTCAGAGAAAGGCTGGAGAGACGGAAACATTGCCTTCAGAAGTGTATAGCCCTAGATACAGGATACGGCAAGAAACAGAATGGCAGTTTCTACAGTTTTGTAGCAATACTTTTTTGTGTATAGGTGTACATATAGTTGTATAAAAGTATATGTGTGTATAGATGTACATATAGTTGTATAAAAAATGTGTGTATATGTATATATTCCATCAGTCCTTATAGGTCCAGAGTTAAGCTCCTTAAACTATTTTTTTGGCACGGCATTTTATAATTATACTTATTTGCACCAATAATAGTAGCCCTCGTTTGTGGCGCACACAATACATTACCGCCCATTTGTTCCTCTTCAGTTACTTCAGGTGTACTTGTGTTAGCTTCTCTTTGGGAAGAGCCAAGTCATGTGCTGTGTGCCCTTGACGCTGCTGCTGGGATGTGGAGGGTCAGGGAGAAATAGATCCCTTCAATGTGTGCTCACTCTTCACATCATATTAAGAAAGCTGCAGCCTGCTGTAGTGAGGGTCCTGAGACAGGAAATGACACTTAACTTTCCACCTGAGTGTGTGAGAGAGAGAGAGACTGAGGGAGCTCAGCAATGCTTTTCCCTCCCCTGTTCCTGTGCCTCCTCCTTGCCCGTCCTCTGATGGCATCTGCTCAGGCCTTCCAGGACGCCTCTTCAGTCCCTCCCACCTAGTGTGTGCTGGAGCCAGCATGTTCCTGAGTTCCATTTCCAGGAAGTTATGAAAACCTGATTGTAGCTTGAAATTGGCCACGGTTGGAAGTTTTCACATCAATAAATACTACACCCCAGAGCCCGTTGTTAACGCTTAGCAAAGCACCACTGCCAATCACACCACCTTTTTTGATGTATATAGTTTGGGGGGTTTTTTTGGAAGAGTATTTACCACTTTCGGAATTTTTCTCTTTTAATCCATTATTTATTGTGTGTGTCTTGTTCAATTGAAGATCACCGCGACCTGAAATGGAGGCTGGCATATAGTAATGGGACAGGGTAGAACTGCCCCTGTGGGTTTCCGAGACTATAACTCTTCATGGGGGTAGAAAGCCCCATCTCTCTATCTCTCTCCCTCAGAGCTGCTGGTGGTTCTTAATTGTTAACCTCGGGGATCGCAGCCCAACTCGTAACCACTTCGCCACCAGGGAGACAGTATAAACTCAAGTGGCCTTTGGGGGGTGGTGATTTGGCAGTATTTTCAAATCTTTTCATGTGAATTTCCTTCAATCTAATTACACTTTTACCTGTCTGTCTTAAATGCACACAGATAGTAAGCATAGGGAGCGTATATAAAAGTGTCTATTGTAGCATCGTTTGTAAGGACAAAACCAGCACACGCACAATTTAAATGTTCATCGATAGAGGAATGTACAAATAGTATTTGTATATCCATATGGAGTATAGTGTAGCAGTTCTTAGAAAATGACTTAGAGCTGCATGTTTTGATGATACATGTAAATATACAGACCGGCAATTCTCAAATGGAAGCAATTTCTCCCCCAGGGGACATGTAGCAAAACTTTTTGTTTTTACTACTAGGCTAGAGGGATGGAATGGGCTGCTACTGGTGTCTAGTGGGTAGAAGCCAGGGATGGCACTAAACATAATACAGAGGACTGTCCAGCCCCAAACCCTGACACCTTAGGGTGGACAGAACCGGCCCAGGATGTGACAGAAGGATGAGGGCTCTGTTTCTTTCTTTACTACATAGACTTTTGTGTTACAGTGTCTTGCAAGGGAATACATTCCTCTTAAAATTATCATTAATGGCTAATTATTATAAGCAGAGTGATTAATAAATGGAGTTAGAATGGGAGAAAAAATGTAAGCGTTACACGGTTGGAGGCCAGAGCCAACTTTGTATAAAGGAGAGGAGGACACAAGGCAGGGTTTCTGTTGACTCTGCTTCCAGGGAGTTGTGACTTTTACTATGGCAAGAACACTAGCTACTCTGCTAACTGGCCTGGCCTTTGGGGCAGGATTTGAGTAAAGTCCTTGTTTGGAGCCAGATGTTCACATGCCAGGAAGAATTTGGACGAGGGGTTGGTGCGGTGGGGCTGTTACAGATTGCTGAGCAAGGGTCCGCTGCGATTTCTTTTCCACGGCGGTGCTTTGGGGACATTAAGCAAGATTAGCAGGGAGGCAGATTAGGTTTCTGTTCCCGGGATACACACCAGGCAGTGACACGGGATGGATAGGGTACGTCTGGGAAATATTTCAAAGGAAGATTCTTTGAAACTGTTCTCTTTTGTCACTGGATTCCTTTAAGTTGTTGACTAATGAGGAGGCATGGAGGAGTGCAGCGCAGAGAAGGCTGAAGTCCAAGGGTTGACTGTCTTAGCTTCCTGTTTCATAAACTTAACCTCTCTAAGCACATTTTTCTCGTATGAAAAATGAGGGTAATAAATGTACTCCTGAACACTTCCAATAAGAATTAACTGTGAAGATCGGGGTCTGCGTCAACGTGTGTGTGCGGCAGGAGGTGTGCTGGTCCCACTTCCTGCAATTGGACCATCTACCACCAGGTGGCACTAGGCGCCCCAGGTACCTGAGTTGCCCCACATTCCAAAGCAGGGGTCCTCAAACTACACGGAGGACATTTATCCAGTCCTCCGGGGTGTTTTTGCCCCGTTTGTTGTTTCACTTCAAAAGAAGATATGTGTAGTGTGCATAGGAATTTGTTCATAGTTTTTTTTTTTATTATTATAGTTCCGCCCTCCAACGGGTCTGAGGGACAGTGAACTGGCCCCCTGTTTAAAAAGTTTGAGGACCCCTGTTCCAAAGGGTTCCAGCCTCTGCCCTTTCAACTGCGGCACATGGGCCTTTCGTTGTAATAGCTGTGCTTATCTGATGCTAACTACTAGAGGGAGCATAACAAATACGTGATTCCAGAGGTTGTTGGCTTTTTAGGGCTTAGGGTGATGGCTTTGCGATCTGTTAAATCGGGTCCAGAGGTTGACAACCCGTGGACAAATCAGACTAAACAGCAGCCTCCATTTTGCTCTTGGCCTGCGCTACAGTGGCACTTGGGAGAGCTGGAAACTAGATGAGGCCCCTTTACTTTTTACTGATCTCACAAGTGTTCCACCTTTGGCAGGGTGCAGTCTTACCACTATCCTGTCACTTCTTTGGGTGGAAAATGCCTGAGTTTCCCTCCTCTGACAGGCTTTCGTTTTGCACAGGTTCCGGCTTCCACAGGTTTAACTGTATGGACCATCAGGCCCTTTCAGAGGGAGTTTGCCCACTGTACGTCTGCTCCTCTCTTGGAATACCTAAGGGAAGAACTTAAGTCCTCAAAGGCCAATGACTGCCCATGGACCCACAGCTCACTAGTAGCATTGCCAGGAGAACTGGATCACACAACTTCAGTTTAAATGGAAATAGACCCTCCTCCCATTGTCTTGTGTAGGTTCTGTGCGGGCTGAGCAAATCAGACTAGTCTCTCGAGTGGAGCTTTCAGTTTAATGAGGTGTAAAGTATTTTCTTTTAGACAGGAATCGTTTGTGGACAGCACTTCTGCAAATGTCAGAAACCTCAGAGTTTAAGAAAGGAGTTTATGGCTTCTTGCTGGGGCTCTGTGACTTAGAAGTTTCACGTCATAGATGCTTCAAGGGTCTCCTAGCAGTCTTTTTTTTATTTTTTATTTTATTAACCACAGCACTCCGCTCCAGTGAGCTCAGCTGATTATAGATAAACAATCTCTTACAGAGTGATGTAGGGGCATGTTGAGTTTTTATTGTTTAATTAAAGTAAATTAAAGAACTATAGAAAACTGTTGAAAAACACCTCCCTCAAATGCACAAGTCCCTATTCATTCAGACAAATTGACATGATCCTGTAGATCTTAACAAACTGTAGTTACTAACTGCAGGACACATTACCAATGCTTTTAAGTATGAATTTAATTCAACAGATTTGACACTTAAAAGTGGTTTCTCCCACAGAGTAGTTTTGGCTCTTCTATCACTTTCACAAAGTAGACACAGGTCTTTCCTCCTGTGCTTATAACTCATAAAGGCCAGTTGTCTAAGATGAGTAGGGAGCACTTGTGGTATAGTGGTTACATATTGGGATGCCAACCCCAAGGCCAGCAGTTTGAAACCACCCGTCACTCCATGGGAAAAAGATGGGGCTTTCTACTCCCTGTGAAGAGGTATAGTCTCAGAAACTCAAGGGGCACTTCTTCCCTGTCTTATAGAGTTGCTGTGAGTCAGCATCAGCTTGAAGGCAGTGAGTTCAGCTTTGGTTTTTAGTGTCATGCTTTTTGGCATAGGAAGTACAGTGGACTGAACATAACTCCCAATATATAGCTTGGAAGCTACCTTTTTATTGAAGAACCTAGATAACTGACCTTTTGCTTCGCATCTCTTCATAACACAGGACCATTTGGTTAATTTGTACTGTGTGAAAGATTTGTCAGACAGTTCCAAATCGTCAGTCAATTCGTAATCATTCTAATGGAGTACTGGTTTGAAGAAATAAATTCTAAAATTCAATGTCTTCATCTATTTTAAAGATTGGGTTACATGGGGAATTCATTTAAATTTGTAATGGTTTTCTTCCCAATTTTAAAGATGATAATATCCAGCTTTTTTAAAAAAACAACCGAGAGCCTACTATGCAACACACACACACACACACACACACACACACACACAGCATCCCTTGACAATTTCTTTAGCAATTGGGTCACACATATATAGCCAACCACCTTCTGTTTACCTCCCTGAGAATCACTCACTAAAACTCAGCCTCATGACGCCAATGAAGGTGATAATGAGCTGCTCTCTCTGAAAGGAAGTTGGGATTATGATCAGCACTAGCAGAGTTTGAACCAGAGCACCAGCAGGTTTATAGGCACACATAGCCTAGCTGGGGCCACAGTCATGTGCTCTATAATACACTCACCCACACCTCCCAAGTCTCACTGTTTGAGAATTAAGACTTAATTTGACCTAAAATTGTTAAGACTTTGATATAGAGAGGTGTCAATAAGGCATTGCAATGAAAATGAAATGGTGCATTCTAGAAAGACGCCTGACCTGATGCCTCTTCTTTGTAAACCCTTCTTTGTCCACAGAGAACGTGTTGAGAATACTAGTCGCCCAGGAGAAATGCAAGTAACGATCCAAAACCTGATGCCAGCAACTGTGTATGTCTTTAGAGTTATGGCTCAAAATAAGCACGGCTCTGGCGAGAGTTCAGCTCCTCTACGGGTAGAAACACAGCCTGAGGGTAAGTCTTCCACCCTTCCACCAGCCTCACCTGCAGGTCTGACTGTGTGAAGGGCCACACGGTGTTTTCCCTTGCACGCCATAGAGAGATGGAGGATAACAATTCAAGGAGCTCTTGCATTTGGGAAAGAAGATCAGTTCACTTCAAGCAATCCCAAGTGACAGCCAGTATACATCTAAGACTTCTTTGCACATTCAGACTTTACTGGTCCTTTAAGACCCCTCTCAGATTCCTCCCAGAGCCTTTTCTCGGACGCTAGTTATAGTGTATCCCTTTAATTCCCAAGATACATGCTCACTTTTCTCTTTGAATTTCGATTATTTTTTATTATATTTGATTGATATTTCACTTGTCTTATGATGAAGACTTTGTCTTTTCCACTTGTACATTTCTCACCCTATCTACTGGACTGTCTTCCACATGAAGAAGATAATTTGATAACTGTTGTCAATGGGATTGCCTCATCTTTATATGTATGAAGCACTTTTTTTTAACCTAAATAATGTTGCTTCCAATTACATGCCTTAAAATTTTCTTTAATTAAGGTGGACATCACGTTGGCTAATTTTATATGTATCTTCTTGTCTTAAAGGAGCCCTGGTGAGTTAGTGGTTATGCATTGGGCTGCTAACTGCAAAGTCAAACCACCAGCTCCACAGGAGAAAGGCCAGGCTTTCCACTCCTGTGAAGAGTTACAGTCTCGGGAGCCCGCAGTGGCAGTGAGATGAGTTTGCTTGTTTGTATGGCTGAAGTCTTGGTTGAAAACAACAAACCTGAAATTGCAAGATGCAATCAGGTTGGGATTGATGCTTTGCCAGTTGTGCCTTTTTCCCTAAACATCCGCCTTCTTTGACTACAAGCCACCATCATTCCTCAGAGCAGTCTCCGGGCTTCTTTTGTTGTTACCTGCACTTGTTTGCTGTGTGTGTGTGTGTGTTACCTGCACTTGTTTGCTGTGTGTGTGTGTGTGTGTGTGTGTGTGTGTGTGTGTGTGTGAGAGAGAGAGAGAGAGAGAGAGAAAGAGAAAACACACAACCTACAATAATAAAGATTGTACAACTGGTAGGAGGCATGTGTCATACATGTGTAAAAGCTGCTGACCAAAGGACTAGACGTAGTAAATGAATTTAGCAGGGAAATTATGGGAGTAATCCTAGGCCTGTACCTACAGGGTAGAATAAAGGAAGTCAGAGGCTAGGGAGCTTTGCTTTCTGATTCTGTGGCGAATCATTCACTTGTCGAGATTTATTAAGTACCTCCTTTGGGTTGCTATAATTTGGAATCAACTGGTTGACAGTGGCTATGCCAGGCACGAGAGGCCTGGTGATCTACTTCTGAAAAACAAACAAACAAAAAAGAAGAATCATGCAGAGAAAACCGTATGGATCACAATGGTTCGATCCCATTGTTCATGGGTTGTCATGAGCCCAGGACTAACTCAGTGCTGCTAAAAGCAGCTGCTACACAGGGTACTAGGAAAATAGAAAGGAACAAGATAGGAATTTTCCCTTTACATAATGAGCAGCCAAATTAAGAAGGAACAGATTATTTCAGGGACAGAGACTGAAGGTCAGGGATCAAACCTAGGCAAGAGAAGGCCTAGGCAAGAGAAGGGGGACTCCCAGAGAATCCAGGGATTGGCCTAAAGAAAAAATATGTTCTTGTTACAGGAAAGGATGTTAAACATCAGAGTTACACATGTTCAGACATGAGTAGGAACATGCCTATCAAGTTCAAACTCAGTTACCTCCATTAAGTGTCCCTATACAGGCCATATCCACGAGAGCTATGGAAAGGCAGAATAAGGAAAAATGACTAAAGAAGATGGGTAAGTTAAGGCATGTGCTAGGAAAAGATGTAAGACTAAGGTTGGTCTGGAAGTATTTGACATAGAACATTTGGGAGGAAGGAAGCTGCCTGACCTAAGTCTCCAAAATAGAATCAAAATGGAAGAAAAGGCTACTGCATTTAACCGAGTGCCAGGATTCTGAACTGGAGCCCGCGAACCTTCTGGAAATTCATCAGGATGCATGTGTGTACGCCTGTGCACCTTCACATTGTTTTGGGGAAAGAGCAAGTAGCTCTTGTGGCCTTCTCAGGGCTTGAGAGTCGAACTGTGGAGAACCCTGGGACTCAGAACGTCACTGCCAAATTTAGAGATGGAAGAAAAACTGTAAATTCAGAGTGAGTTCTTTGAATGAGTGACTGCCACTATGGTAGGCAGTGAATGTACAAAAGTGACTTGACTCCTGTCCACCAGGAGCACAGTCTGGGTCCAGAGACTTGAGTAGAGATGCCTCTGAATTGCATGCAAAGTGTTGCCCTCACAAGAGAAGAAGGAATTTGTTGCAGAAGTTTGGCGAAAAGAAAGTTCAATAAGACTGTTGATGGGAAAGGGCAACAGGCTCTAGTGAAGGTATTTTTAGGGACAGAGAGAGAATGTAACATGTTTTGGCACACAAGAAGGAGCTAGTGGGGAAAGATTAGCATTTCATCTGGAGGTATTCAGCTTGTGTGGGGGAGGTATAAGTGTTGGAATCCGCTCTCGACAATATTTTACATATTTAGCTCCACAAACCAACTTAAACCACCCCCACCCCCCACCTCACCCTTCTTTATTATTATGCCACTGCTCGACTGAAATGAAGGAATTCATTAGCGCCTTTTGTAGGATCATATTTGTCTACCCTTAGCCAGTGAATATATTGGAAGTGATTTCAAGGGAATTCAGGAACTGTTTTGCTTGCTTGCTTTAATAAGTTAGAAGAAAGTTTCCCATAGCAGCAAAAGTGTGACAAATCCCACCTGTCAGGCTGCACAAAATATGGTCTTGACATTAAATGAATAGCATGATTCATGACTAAATATAGCAAACAACTGTTAGCATAACCGTATTCAGGTTTCTCTACTCTGGTAGCAAAATTCATCTTAAGCTATGGTGGTAGGTTTTCAAGAAAGCCAGCGTGGTTTGCATTTTGTTAGTCGTTTCCGCCTTCCCCTCTTCCCAGCTCTTAAATCTAATGGATGTCTATTACAGAGATACCAGTGCCAGAGAAATTGTTTTCAAATATGGAATGTCTACCAAAGTGTAGACATAGGCAGCGACCCAGGATTTATGTATATGAGGGGGTACCCCAAAAAAACCCTGGAATCCCCCCAAGCTGTGTTTTTAAATTTTTTTATAAAACAACCTTATCACCTTCAAAGTACTCTCCATTGTACTTAATACTTTTGTCAAATCTGCAGTTCTATTCTTGGAAACATTTTTCAAACTCATCTGTTTGGATAGCTGACAGCACCTCCCTTGTTTTTCTTCACTCATCTAAGTCATCAAATCGCTGCCCTTTCATTTCCCTCTTCATTCTTGGAAACTAAAAGTAGTCATGCGGAGCAAGGTCAGGTGAGTAAGGTGAGTGGGGCAAGAGAGGCATACTGTTTGGGGCCAACAACTGGTAAACTGAGATGGCTACGTGAGGAGGTGCATTGCTGTGGTGGCAAAGCCAGTCCCCCGCCTGCCACAAATCAGGCTTTTTTTGTCACACACTGACGCTATCTTTTCAGATACTCTAAGTAGAAAACCTGATTAACTGTCTGACCTGGTAGACCAAACTCCAAGTGCGCTATCCGCCTCACATCAAAAAACCAATGAGCATCGTCTTGATCTTTTGATTTCACTTGAAAAGCTTTTGGGGGGCAAGGTGATGATGGTGTCTTCCACTGGCTTGATTGATGTTTCCTCGCGGGGTCATAAGAATAGCACCATGTCTCTTCACCAGTAATGGCCTTGGGAGAAAAAGTCTAGATCACTTCCGAGCTGTTTTTTTCAAAGTACAGCATGCTTCCAGTTGATGCTCTTTTTCCTGGTCAGTCAGAACCCAAGGCAAAATTCATCCCCTCACTTTCCCAAATCTTCTATTAAAATTCCGGAACCAAGCTCCAAAATAGCCCCGATAACTTCGTCATCTCTTCAATGATCCATCCCCAGTCTTCCAGCACAAGTGCACAAGTTTTATCAACATGGTCATCTGTTCAGGAAGTTGATAAATGTCCAAAACGAGGTTTGTTGTCAATCGACATTTGACCTTTTTTGAAACGAGAAAAACATTTGTACACTTGAGTTTTTCTTATAGTGCTTTTCTTGTAAACTGTGTTCAACATCACAATAGTTTCTGTGACATTTTTTCCGAGCAGGAAACAAAATTTCACAGCTACACACTGTTCTCTTAATTTGGCCATCCAAAAACATGAGCAAAACTAGCGAAACTGCTTTTACGAAGAATTTCACTGTGACCAGAGAGGACCTTTCCATGTGACACCACTTGTGCACTAACTCAAAGCAAATGTTGATGCTCGCCTCGTGGGAAAAATGCGTCCTATGAATTTTTGGGGGGGATGTACTCCCTTGTGTGTTGGTACTGGAGCCTACTAGTCAGAAAGAAGGATAGGGTTAGAGAGGTATATGAGCCATGGTGCACACTAGAACCAGATAGACTGGCGTTTCATAAGTGAATTAGACATCCATTCATCCAATATGTTACTGAGTGTATGATGATACTCTTTCTATTGGTCTCCTTAAGCCCAAGACTTAGAATGCACTAAGTCCCTGGCTCCATCACTCCCTAACTTTACCATCACTTGGGGAAAAGTTCTTAATGTTTCAGCCTCCGTTTCCTCATCTGTAAATGGGAATGATCATAGTATGTACCTCATTTGGGTTATCACAAAGATTAAATAAAAACCTAGAGGTCTTAATATAGGCATGTACATATGTAAATATATGTATAACAATAGGGAAATAGATCTAGATATATTCATATTGTATGTACATATATTTATATGTTAAATATTAAGGTAGCAGATGGACATTGGGCGTCAACTCAAGTACTCCCTCAATGCAAGAACACTTTGTTCTAATAACCCAGCATTCAGTGATGCTCACCTTCCCAACATGATCACTGAAGACAAAATGGGTGCATTAGCAAATGTGAAGAAAGCTGATGGTGGCCGGCTCTCAAAAGTTATAGTCTGGGGTCTTAAGGGCTTGAAGATAAACAAGGGGCCATCTAGCTGAGAAGCAACCCAGCCCATATGAAAGAAGCACACCAGCCTGTGTGATCATGTGTCGAGGGGATCAGTTATCAGGCATCAAAGACCCAGAACAAAAAAAATCACATCAGTGTGAATGAGCGGGAGTGTGGAGTAGAGACCCAAACCCCATCTGTAGACAATTGGACATCCTCTTACGGAAGGGTCACAAGGAAGAGACGAGCCAGACAGGGTGCAGTGTACCATCGATGACATATAACTTTCCTCTAGTTCTTTCATGCTGCTTCTCTGCCCCGGCCCCCCCACCCCACCCCCCACTATCATGACCTCAGTTCTACCTTACAAATTCAGTTAGACCAGAGCATGTGCACGAGTACAGATAAGAGCTGGAAACAGGGAATCCAGGACAGATAAAACCCTCAGGACCAATAATGAGAGTGGCGATACCAGGAGGGGAAGGGGAAGGTGGGGGGAAACCAATCACAAGGATCTACATATAACCCCCTCCCAGAGGGACAGATAACAGAAAAGTGGGGGAAGGGAGACATCGTTCAGTGTAAGTGAGACATAGGAAAAAAATTTTATAAATTATCAAGGGTTCATGAGTGAGGGGGAGTGGGGAATGAGCTGATACCAAGAGCTCAAGTAGAAACAAAATGTTTTGAAAATGATGATGGCAGCGTATGTAAAGTGTGCTTGACACAATGGACGTATGTATGGATTGTGATAAGAGCTTTAAGAGCCCCCAATAAAATGATTTAAAATAAAAATAAAGGGAAAATTGGTGCAAGAAAAAAAAAGGAAGAAAACCTATATGAAGCCCAAATGCTTGATTGTAAGCATCCAATAAACAGACCTTTTTTTTAAAGGCATTATTTTTTTTAATCATTTTATTGGGGGTCATACAACTCTTATCACAATCCATACATACATCAATTGTGTAAAGCACATTTGTACATTCATTGCCCTCATCATTCTCAAAACATTTGCTCTCCACGTAAGCCCCTGGCAGCAGCTCCTCATTTTCCCCCTCCCTCCCAAAAGGCATTATTAGTAATCCTTTATCTAGTCCTGCGTTCTTACTGTGCTACATCATGCTTGGGTTCAGATGTCCTTTCTAAACACAGATCTCACCATGCCATGCCTCCTGCTCATAACTTTTTAATAAGTACTTAACATTTACCAAGAAAGTCCAAACCTATTAACTCAACCCAAGATACCCTACTTTTGAGTCAGTTCCACAGCTGTCAATCTTTACAGGAGCAAACAGCCTCATCTTCTTCCCACAGAAGCAGCTCCTGGGCTGGTGGGCTTGAATCTGCGGTGAGCAGTCAATCCACCGCTACCCAACAGCGCCACCTGGGTGTCGCCAAGGCGTTTCGTTCTTTTGATTCCTGTCGTCATCCTTTTCCACATTCTCTCTTCCGTATCCATCCTGTGATCCACCTCATCTGAACCACACGACTCTTTGTCTTTTCTATACCTAGAAAAGCCTTGTAACGCCTCCCATGGACCCATTGAATGGAATCATTTTCCTCTTGGTATATGAGCAAAACCTTCTGCATTCTTGATTCCAACAAGTCTAGATCAGTCCTCCCCTTTCCTGTCGATTCCCTTCCAGGACAGACTGGAATCCTCTCCTCTCTCTCTTGTGCTGCTGTCATCGAGACCCCACAAGTGGGGGGGCTGCAACAAATTGATCCAGGGGAAGGCTTTCTCTCTGACAGCTCTGAAATTCCCCTTGTATCTTCTGCTCCTGTTTCTTGATTCTGTGGAGATCCATCTCCATGTGGTTTGGCATTTGGTTTGTCCCCAACCACCCTTCCTTGTTTAACTGATCTATTTTTAATCTCAAAAGCCATTGCCCAACATGAATACTGTCTCATTAAAATAACCAAGAAAACCCATTCCCCAGGATTTAGTTCCATAGAGTAGGAGTTAACGTTTACAATGCATATTTAGAGGGGAAGAGGGTTTGCCATCCAATCCATACAGAATGGGCATGACATTACATGTCTGCCTACCCTCATTAGCATGTGAATTCCTTGTGGACAGGACTTTATCACTGTAGTCCCAAGACCTACTGTAAACTCTCTCAGCTCACTGCCATCAAGTCAATTCTGACCCATAGTGACCCCTGTGGGTTTCTGAGCCCACTGTTTGCAGGAGTAGAAAGCCCAGTCTTTCTCCCTCAGAGCTGCTGGTGGTTTCAAACTGCCGACCATGCAGCTTCCAGCCCTAGGCATAACCACTACACCACCAGGGCTCCTGGCCCTACCATGGTGCCTGGCAAAAGAAGACTTTCTTTGTGGTGGCTGCTTTTATGTGATTCACAGTGCCACTGCAAAACCAGGACTTTACAAATCACAAGAGTTCTGCCAATTTTTGTTTCCTAATGTTAACCAGGTGCTTCACACATCGTTGGTGCTTTTAAGTCATGAAAAGGAATATGCATTTAATTATATATGATCCTGAAGCCACTTCAATTAAAAACACTTATTAGTTGTTATTGTCCTTTAAATGTGCCCACTTTGTCGACATTGCTGAGAATGGCCGTTGAGGAATGCACTGGATCTCATTTAAAGCTTGCTTTCTTGAAATTTGCCTTATAGTTCAGCTCCCTGGACCAGCACCTAACATCCGAGCGTACGCCAGTTCACCGACTTCAGTCACCGTCACATGGGAAACACCGTTATCTGGCAATGGGGAAATTCAGAATTACAAGTTGTACTACATGGAGAGAGGGATTGACAAAGAACAGGTATACAGTGAAGCCTCTTTTCAATCCACTGATGGAACAAGTAGAGTTGAAAAAATATTCTGAAACTCAGCATTGCTTGACTAGAATCTGAGGAGTCGGGGAAGATCATGACATTATCAGCTGGCACATTTCAATTTCTTTGTACCCAGTCAGTTTTACCAGCAGAGGTCACTAAACAACAAGCAGTATTTTCAAAGTAAATTGCCAGTGTTTATGAATCACCTGCTTTGACTGTTTAGGAACAACGTATAAAAGGTGGGGGTGGGGGGTAGCATCTGTCCCAAATTTGGGTCCCAAATTTATTTAGCCTACCATTCTCTTTTCAGAAAAAAATAATAAAAAAGACTCGACACCCCCCTGGTTATTAAAAACTCTTGTACTGTAGCCCATAATCCAAGATACAGTGTAGGTATCTGCCTCTGTAGCCCCCCGACCCCCCATCTTTCTAGCACCCTCCCAAGGGATGGTGTCTCCACTTTGGGAAACACTGATATAAGGTATATAATTCATAAAGTAATTTCTTCATTTTGACTCATTTCTCCTGAATATATATATGTATAAGTTGTTTTATTTTACTCAAGGATGTTGACGTTGCAAGTCACTCCTACACCATCTACGGGCTGAAAAAATACACAGAATACAGTTTCCGGGTGGTGGCCTATAACAAACATGGTCCTGGAGTCTCCACGCAGGATGTTGCTGTTCGAACATTGTCAGATGGTAAGTCTGTCTGTGTGTCTATCTGTCTGCCTTCGAAAGAAACTACCAGGGTCCATGTTCCTGGTCATCAAAATTCAGTTCACACCTCAGTTCAACCACATTTTGGAAGGGAGTTTGGTCCAGGTACTGAACATCTCTGAGCCTCTTTCCTTTGATGGATGTCAGTATAGACAGTGCCAACTTCACAGGGCTGCTGGACGGAGGCACCGAGAGAGCAGAGTGTTGGTGAGCCTTCCTGGTACCGACAGGCCTTCGGTGTTTCCAGTCTCAGTGGGAGCTTTGTTTAAAGTAAGGAGCCCTAGAGGCATCATGGGTTAAGGCATCGCTGTTACGTGCAAGGTCAGCAGTTCGAACCCACCAGCCACTCTGAGAGAAGGACGAAGCTTGATTGGGCTATCTGGGAAGACAAACAGCGGTAAAGGATCCTATCAGTACACAAACCAAACCCTCTCTGCCACCAGTTGCCTCCTCAGAACAGGTGTCTCTGAGTCAGGCAGTCTTTATGGGAGCAGGAAGCCTCATTTTGCTCCGTTGGAGCTGCGTAGTGGTTTCGAACTGCTGACATTACAAAGTGTAAGTGCGTCACAATTAGTTTGATTATTACTTACAGTGTTAGGAATGATAAATATGAGGTATGCTATCAGGTGTAACAGTTTGTATTATTATTAAAAGTTCTGAATGTGGCCACGTTATTGCAGCTATATTGAGCAATAATCCTGTTCTAATAGGTAGTATTAGAACACAGCTAAAGAATTTAAGAGTAAAGTATTATGATGACTGCAACTCTCCTAGATGATTCAGAGATGATACATAGTTAAGAGTGTGTGTGTCGGTGTGTGTGCGTGTGTGTACACGGAAGAGAAACTACGCAGATACCATAGAACCCTAACTGTGAATCTAAGGAAATAAGTTTTAGTGTCCATTGTGCTATTTTTGTCACTTTTCTAAGGGCTTGACATTTTTCAAGGTAAATGTTGAGGAAAGTAACTAAAAACGTAAGCCACTGGCCCAAGACTTTTGAGAAAAGTTGAAGGGATTTTTTTAAATCATTTTATGGGGGGCTCATACAACTCTTATCACAATCCATACATCAGTTGAATCAGGCATGTTTGTACATGTGTTGCCCTCATTCTCTTCTAGACACTTACTTTCTATTGAGCCCTTGGTATCAGCTCTTTTTTTCCCCCTCCCACCCTCCACCCTTACAACCCCCTGATAGATTGTACATTATTATTATTTTCATCTCTCACACCAACTGCTGTCTCCCTTTCCCCATGCTTACTGTTGTTCTTCCCCCTGTAGAGGGGTGTATGGTTATGTGTCGATCATTGCGATAATGTAGATTTTAAAATCTATTTTAAAAAGCATGTACTGTTGGATCAACTCTGACCCCCAGTGACCCCATGTGGGTCAGAGTAGAACTACTCCATCGAGTTTTCAATGACTAATTTGGGGAAGTTAGACATGTGTTGACCAGTTAGGCAAACGTTAACTAGACTAAGTCAGATGGCCTGTTAACTGTAGTACCCATCACAGGAACTGACTGAGTTTGATCCTGGTGGTTACAGGCAGTACATCCTAGTAAGAAAATCCTTGGTTCCTGTGCCAGCCAAGAGAATTCGTTTGGGCAAGAAACGTCATTCTCTGAACCTCATCTATAGGTCATTCATCTATCAAATGGAAATAAGATAGAAACTTCTTTGTGAGGTGGCGTGGAGGATTAAGTGTGAAACAAATGTAGAACTCTTAGCAGTACCTCCCATGGAGTGAACCATCAGCCAGTTTTTGCTGCTGCTGCTGGGCCAGCACAGAATGAAGTCACAGGGTCTTTAACAGGGATGTACGTGACTGGAACCATGCAGAATTCCCCTCCTCTTTTGTTCTCAAGATACCAGTGCCTAAGTCATAGCCTAGGTGCATTGACCCAATGTGCAAAAGTAAACAAGATGTGGTCTCTAGCCCCCAGACGCCTACAGCATAGTTGACACTTATATACCTGATCACCAGTTATTAGAGATCGATTTCTCATGGGTAGATTAGGCGAAAAAGGCTTGACTTAGCATTTTATGAGCCGAGAGGAAACCAACCAGCTCTCCTTAAGTTTTCCTTACTTGCTAAGGTCACCAGGAATGAAGATTATCAACTTTGAGACACCCCTGCCTTCTGTTCTGAAGTTATGTCTGCAGCTGTTTCACAATGGTCCCGCACTTTTCACATCTAAATGAATGTTCCCTGCTGTGCAGTAGACTAGAGAAACCAGCTGGCTTGCTCTCCTGAAGCAGTCGTGGTTTCATTCTCGCTCTGCTCTACTTGAGCGCTGCCTTCAAAGCCACTTTAGGAACCCCGCAAGAAAGCCAAGCTGATGATTTATGTGCATCTCATTCGGGACCCATAAAATGTAACCCAGTTCAGATGCTCATCGTAGTCGTGCGACTTGGTTCCAGAAAACTTTTGACTCTTCCCCAAGACAAAGATAGGCTAACACTAAGAATATTCAAAAGGCTCAGAATATGCCTGGAAGTAGGCATCTGGAAAGGTTTAAAAGCACATTCTAGAAATATCTAACTCCCCAACAGTGTAGCACCCTCCCGGTATCGCCACTCTTACCACTGGTCCTGAAGGGGATCATCCGCCCTGGATTCCCTGTGTTTCCAGTTCCTATCTGTACCAGTGTACATCCTCTGGTCTAGCCAGATTTGTAAGGTAGAATTGGGATCATGATAGTGGTGGGGGGTGGGGGGGATCGAAGCATTTAGGAACTAGAGGGAAGTTGTATGTAAAACACCTTTTTAAAAAAAAAACCAAAAACGTTTGTTTGTTTGTTTGTTTTTGCCTGTCTAGTTCCCAGTGCTGTTCCTCAGAACCTGTCCTTGGAAGTGAGAAATTCAAAGGTAAAACTCCACATTGCTGCTGCTCATTTTTACGGGTCTCCTAGGGAACCTTGGAAGGGCTTAACAGAAAAGAAGATTCTGTGGGAGGCAATCAACACAATTGAAGGAAGGCCAGTGCTGTTATGAGTCACTCTGCAAAATACTAAATTACCCGCTGAAAGCCATCCTAATGGAGCTGAGAAACACGTAGGGGTGAACTCTTGGCAGAGAAGTTGGGCTTAGACGACATTGCCGGCGTAGTCCCCCACCCCCTGCACTGTTCTTCAAGTACACTGCCCTGTAGACCATGCCACTCTGGCGCTGTTTGGTCCAGACCTTGGTGAATGAGTGGAAAGAAATAAGCAGTTTGTGATGATGCAGTGTCTTCAGCTATGAGACGAGGCATCGTGCTCCCAAAGCAGGCATCCGCCCCCTTGGTGACACGCGTTCCCCCTCCCAGTCAGGTTCTCTCCCACTGTGTACTCAGGACCCCGTGTGCCTCTCAACCGCCAACTCAGCAAGAGTGCTCCAGGACTCCTTTTCTCTTGGAAAGACAGCCCGCATTCGCTAAAGGTCCCCACCTGCCTTTTGAAAAAGCTTTAGGTAGAAATCGTTTGATTTCAGCTGCTGCATGATGGCCATGGGAAGGAACCTTGCCACC